GAGAAAGGAAGGGAATAAACATTTACATACCTCCCAGGTGTAGGCGCTATTCTGAGTGCTTTATGAAAAGTATTTCACTTGATCTTTAAACAACCCTGGAGATAGGCATTGTTATGATCCCCATTTTATAGTTGAGGAAACTGAGGTTAAGTGACTTGTCCAGGGTCACACAGCTAAGAAGTATCTGATTACAACCATATGTCTAAATTACCCACAAAGGGGAGAAGGCCAGAGCCAAAACATAACAGTAGAATATGTCATATTTTATCCTATATGTTGGGAGTCAGAAAAACAAGGGCAAAAGAAATTTTTAGTTGAATATCAAAGCTATGTCATTATCTGGAAGGCTATGTTTGTTCCTTGACTCATGGACAAGGATCTAGACAATTATCTGCCTGTGCACATGTAACAAAGGACTAAAAGAAACTTTGGTACAGTAGCTTGAGTTCAGAACACCACCTGGTAATTCATATATTGTACTCAGAGTCAATTCAAAGCTCTTGACTAGATTTTTAACACTCTTGAGAGCACATACATGTTTTACCATAAGAGAATAACCTACATTTTTTTGCTATGTGTATGTATTACAAACATCTAATGTTACATAGTGGAGGTGATTTAGAATTTTGACAAGATGAGAGGAGGAGGGAATAGCATAAGCAAATATTCATGATGGTAAGGAAGACATATTTGTGGAATAGTGAGAACAGTAATCTGATTTGTCAGGAGCAAATGGTATCTGTGAGGAAGTAGTAGGAAATGAAATTGGAAAAAACAGATTGAACCAGACTTTGGAGAGGCTTAAATGTCAGGCAAAGGGCTTGGATTTTATTCAAAAGGCAAAGCTAAGTTATTGTGGCTTTTGTCACATGGAAAGTGACATGATTAGAGTAGCACAGTGCTAATCTGGTAAGAGTATATGGAGGAGGAAGTCTGCCAGTTAGATGGGTATTTTTAGGTCAGTTAAGAGGTGCTAAGGTCCTGAACTAGGGAAGTGACTGTTGCAATAGTTAGAAAGAGGTATATTCAAGATAGCATGTGAGAACATAAGTGTCAGGTCTGAGTGACTGTATGGAGGCAGAAGGGTTAGAGAATGTATTCTTTTCTATTCATTGGCATGTACTTGCACTGACATTACAGGCAGCCAGGCAGACCAGTGAAAAGAGCAGTGGACCTGGAGTGAGAAATACTTGAGTTTCAAATATGACCTCAGATAACTAGTGACTGTCTGATCTTCAGCAAATCACTCAACTTCTCTGTGAAATGGGCATAATAATAGCATCTAACCTCCAAGGTTGTTGGAAAGATCATGAAATAATATATGTAAATAATTTCATAACACTGCAAGTGTACACAAATGTTAGATATTCTTTTTATACAATGACAATTTTAAAGTTTTGCACCTGGATGGATGTTTGATGGTCTTTGGCAATAATACAGAAATCAATAGGAGGAACTGGTTTTTAATTTTTTTGGAGAAGAGATTATAAGTTCCATTTAGGGTAGTGATATTAGGCTAAAATTTTGCAAAGATATCTAGCTAAAGATGTTTATTAGCCTTTGGAATTATGGGACTAGAACTTGAAAGAGAGATAAGGACTGGAAATAAAAATTTTGGAGTTGTCAGCAGCAACAAACTACAAGAGATGATGAAATTAGATGAGAGAAAAAGAGAGAGACACAGAGAGAGAGAGAGAGAGAGAGAAGAGTGTTGACTCCAACATTAGAGAGTGAATAAATACATGAAGTAAGAGGATACAGAGGAGGTAGAAAAAGAGGAAGAGAAGGATAGAACCCAAAGAGTCAATGACAAGAAAGGAAGGTAGTGTTTTAAGGAGAGGATTGATAAACAGTGGTTCACAATGCAGAGATATTTGGCATTTAAAATTGAGAATGTATGTTCAGTCCAATGGTGCTAGCAGAAGCCAGATCAAAACGGGTTAAGGAGTGAATGATTTCTAAGGAAATAGAAGTAAGTCACAAGTGTAAAAAGAGACTTTGATAAAATGAAAGAAAAAGAGAAAATAATAAATCAAGGGGGTAGGAAAGCTGTGAGGTTTCTTTAGGCTAAACATGACCTGAATATAATTACTGGCAGAAGAGGAAGTATTTAATGGGCAAGAACAGGTTGAAGACATTGCAGATAGGTGTATACTTATTGAAGCTATGTCCTATAGGAAACTGGAGAAGACAGATGCAAGTATTCATAGTAAAAGAGGAGGAAAGCAGGATAAATAAATCAATATTGGGGATAATCCAAATTATTGACTTGTTACAGTACTTGGTTTCAGGATGTTTATGTTTTATATATATATATAAATGCGTGTGCCTGCATGCTCATGTGCCTGTGTGTGTGAGTGTGTGTGTATGTATGGCTATGGACATGTATATATGCATAGTCAAAAAATTTTCCAATTATGTTTTGTTTAGGCTAAATTGTTTAACATCCCATTTACACACACACACACACACACACACACACACACACACACACACACACCAGGAGTAAGGAAAAGCAAACAAAACCATGCAGAATGCCTGAGTGTTTGAGTGGCACAGATATCACACAGGGGTAATCTGGAGGCTTAGCTCAACAGCCGATGGATCTAAACAAGGAAGTTGTTGGTAGTCAATTCAAAATCATTAAATCTGTAATCAAGACAGATAAACAAAAGGAGACAAGGAAAGATTAGGGCTGAGTTGGAGCAGAGCTTGAAACATCTGGCAAGGAATTGTTTTCTGAGGTCTCAGGGCTCACTTGTTTTGAAACATGTTCAGTTTAGATAATCAAGAGTTGACTATGCTGTGATGGAAGCTGATCTCATCCAGTAAAAAAAAAAAAAAAGACTCCCCAGAAAAGATGGTTTTTGGTGCTTTTAACCTAATGCAAGCCAACCTTAAGTTAAAAAAAAATCTTGGCCACCTTTTATGCCACAATAATGACTAATAACATTCTTTTGTTACCAAACACATAGCATCAGTGATCAACATTTAAGATTATAGTAGGAGGTTTTTTTTATATTAAGCTTTAATAAATTGAAACTAATTATTATATATTTTCTCCATTCCTATTACATGGAAAATAGGCCCCATCTGTTCCTTTAATTGTCATATTAAGTATGTTTAAAACATCTGATTTGGAAAATATTACATATGTTTTCCAAAATACACTTTTGTGACTATTCTAGTTATGCTAAATTACACAGAAACATACAAACATGCATAGATATATACATATAAATTTCCATCACATTATATCCATGTAGATAGACTTTAAAATTTTAGTTTTATAATAATTTAGCTACATTTTATAAGTTACAGTATAATACAATTTTTTATTTTCAGATTTTAATTGGGGCAAACTTTTATTGAAATGCATCTCTTCCAACTAGAGAAGCATGCATGTTCAGTGAAAGCACTGAGAAAAAATGGGAGAAGTCATTATACTTGAGAAACGGTGTCTTTCTTTAATGAAAACAATGGCAATGTTAAAAAGTTGGCAACATTCATGAAGAACATAAAGTGAAAAAAAGGAAAAGAATATGTAAAGTAGTTATGGATTTTCAACTGCTTTTTAGAGATTTTAGCTGCTTTATTTCTCTATTAAACGGATCTGGGCTATTGCAGGTGTAATTCTAATCATTGACTGAAACAATTAGAGGTGGGGCCATGTCTTCAGCATCAGGTAAGACTAGTGATGTCTGAATAACAATCCTTGTGATGACTACAACTTATCATAGACATTCCACCACTGGCAAGAAAAAAAGAAGAAAAAAAAAACTACTTCTCCCTTCTAGCATGTAGTGAGAGACAATATAATTTGATCAATGAGTCAACACTAGTTAATAAGTGGTTCTTTTGTGCCCAATGTTTTGCTAAGTCCTAGAGAAACAAAAAAAGTAAAAACAGACCCCTGGCCTTATGGTTCACTTTTTTAGGATAAATATTAGATTCTTTAATTTTTTCACTTAAATGACTTAATGATTAAAGACGGATGGCTTATACAAATACATCTGATACATTTTTAAATATCTAATACATCTGGCCAAGGGAAATATATACCATATAACAGAACACAGCTCTACACTTTTCTAACTGTTGATTCATTCAAGAGTTCTACAAGCTTTCTAGAGCGGCTAAAGTACATACATCCTTGTAAACTAACCTGGGCACTGCTGAGAAAAGAAATAAAGAGACACAAGGTCAAATCTAATAAAAAAAAAACAGATTTCCTTGGCCCTGGTGCAAATGCCTATAGTCGGGGAAAATATACATAATAGTATGATCAATGACCTAAGGAGAGAACAAGCAACAACTTATACCTGTGAGGTAACAGAATATATTTTAACGGTAAGTGGATTGTGGATTCAGGAGAGAGGCAAATTCTACTTCAGATAAGATGAATCAGGAAGTCCTCTTGAATTAAGAAAGTTTTTAAGTAATTTACAATTGTTCCCACCTATATTGATGGACCCTTTAAAAATACTGTGGTTTGTAAATTGGTGAAAAGATAGTCACTGGTTAGTACTGGTGTTGAAAAGAATGAGCAGCTTTATTTCAAACAACTATAATTTTATTTCTCAAGCAATGATCACGTATTTCTTTTGAATATAGCCATTTGGGTATCATACCCCCTACTATAATACATAAATTATCTGAATCATCAGGAGCCTCCTCCTGATTACCAGGTTGAGTACTCTGTACACAGTAGATACTTAGTAAATGCTTGTGAAATTGAATGCAATTTAGCCTATTTTAGAATACCACAAATTGTTTTCATACAGGTATTGTAGTTTTCCAATGTATGATTAGAGAGAAAACAGTATTGATTAGAAGGCAATTTAGGAACTATGGCTTTATACTATTTTTCATTCCCCATAAATTCGATTATAGCAAGTCCCTGTTAATTATTCAGATGCAATATAGTCTAATATTCTTCAAATAAAATAAATTATTCAGAACTTAAACAAGTAATATTCAAAAGACATTTTGATACATACCAGAAAATTGAGGACAGAAACTGTGACTTGCCTGTTTCCAAATGCTAGAAAATAGGAAAAATAGGAATTTGTATATTAATGTGAACATTAATCAGAGAGGCAGAAGAGCACAGTGGATAGAGAATCAACCTAAGAGTCAGGAAGACTCGAGTTCAAATTTCATCTCTGACATGTACTGGCTATGTTACCTTGGACAAGTTCCTTAACCTCTCAGTGTCCCTTTCTAAGACTATAAATTGCAGGTTAATTAATGCTGTTTTTTGATTGGAGGAATTTCACCACCAATATTTCTTGATAGCAATGACAACATAGATTCGGAATTGCCACCTCTTCATCATCATCACCCAAAAAAGTGAATCAGCGGTAGTTAGAAACTCCATTACATGCAGAGTACAGATATTCAAAAATGCACAATGTATTTAGTTGTATGATCATTATTACCAACAAGAGGACCCTATGATTTCATCATTGCAGGGATCTTCCAGTATAGAAGCTTCTCCTCATGATAACTTGTTTGTAACTTACAGACTTACAGGTTTGCCTGGCACTCAGAAAGGTTAACTGCTCAAGGTCAAAAAGTTAGTATGTGTCAGAAATGAGGCATGAACCCATGTTTTACTGACTCAAAGGATCGCATTACGGCACCAGTGTCTTTGTTGTGCAAGACTAGGCTTTTATTTTGCTTCATGACTACTTCCTAAAGTCTAATTTTGAATAATACTATGTTAAAGACCAATGAAGTCTATTTTATCTGCTCAGATTTAATTGCCTCTGAAAATGTATCTGCTTTACAACAGACTTTCCTGTATGTAAGAGTTTATCTATTAATACACATTTTCTTAAATTTATTTGCCTTGAAATTGACCATAGATGGTAGGTACTTGGGATACAATTCTCCTTCCCCAGCATGTGAACTGACCCTTTGGAGTTTTAAAGTTTCTATTTTATTTTGAGTTGACCGAACATAAACGTTATTACTTTTCTTCCATATCAAATAATATTGAGAAAGGAAAAAAGAAGGAAATCTCTGGCTTTCCTCAGCATCTTCCCCCTCATTATTCTATCCCACCTTCGCCACCAAGACAAAATATTTGTATCAATATTGGAGGAAATGACAGAAAGAAGAAAATGAAAAGCCTAAAGAACCCCATGTCATATGCCTTTCTCCAAGAATATGAGGTTGTGGGAACAATTGCAAATAACCTGGGCAACCTGATAAACTCTTGGAAGAGCCATAAAATCAAGGGCAGATGACATTCCAAAGAGAAAGTTCCAAACTTAGGTAAATTGAAAGTTCCAATTAAATGTATTCCATTTACCTCCAATATCATAATGCCTCTGTAGATACTGCTCAAATTAGAAAGGTAAATTTTTTTCCTGTTTTTAGTTTATTTTAAAACAAAAGTTTTAAAATAAGTGCCAAGTTTTTCAATGTATAGGAAAAATATATTATTATTGCTTTAGATACAGACAGACTTAATGCACTGAATAATTCACACAGGCACCGTCATAAGGAATGGGAATTTGAAGATTTCCCTTGTAGCTAAATCCCAACACCTTGGTTATAAAGTTCAACTCTGCAATAGCAGTAGCCTCAGCCACAGCAGCAACAATGGCAGCCACAGCAGCAGCAGCAACAGCAAAACAAGCTTTTTTTAGAGGTCCCACTTTAAACCCACATGGTTACATGAAATATTGTGCAATTCATAGTAATGTATTAATAAATTCACCTTTCCTAAATTATTTTATGTACCTGGTACTTATTTAAAAAGTGAAAAATGTCATTTGCAATACTGAATATTTGACTCAGGGTATGCTTATATGATACTTACCGTCATTATTATGGGGAACTATTCTCATTATGAATATTCCCTTCACTGATATAGATTGGTAACTCACCTATAACTTTCAAGGTACAGGTCTAGAGACTTCACTGAGGCCCAACTTGCCCCATGCTTACACAGCCATGCATAAGAGAGTAGTCTTGAAACCAGGTCTTCCTGTCTCCAAGGCTGACACTCTATACATATATACACATATGCACACACACAGAGGCACCCAGGCAGACACACTTAGTGAAAGAAAAAAGAGAGAAGGAATAAGTAGTACTGGATAGCTGAGAGAATGCTAGAATTGGAATCAGAAAGACCAAAGCAACGATACTAGATTTTAGACAACTCTCTAAGGTATCAGTTATAAACAGGCTACAATCAGCCTTAGTGAAAAGAATTCCCACATCAGGAGTTCTTGTGTTGATTAATTCTAATTTTTTTTTACAAATTAATGTATTTATATATATATATATATATATATATATATATATACACATATATATATGTTTATATACATTTCCATGTGTGTATATACATATATGTGCAGATTTAGATATATCTCATATATATATGTATATACATATATCATTGTGTCAGCATATGTATATCTATAATCTATCTATATCTATACCTATCAATAGCACAAGAGGGTTGTACATGGTGGTGTGTAGCAAGGGTAATTAATGTGATATTCTATTGGTAGAGAGAAGACATTATGGTATTCAGGATCTTTTCTTTTCGTACCGTGGGATATTTTATTAAATTCTGTCTCCTTTCTAGTAGTCATGTGAAGAGGAAGAAGAGGAAAAGAAGGACAAAAGAATAGAAATTTCCCTTTTCATTATTATTTAATGCCCTGATTATTAGTAGCTCTGGTAAAACTTTCATTGGTGGACCATGTGAGATCAATTGACTGAAATGATGCTTTGGATTATCTGTGAATTTTATTCACCATTATTAAGCATAACTTCAAATTAACTGGAAAAGAAATCTCAGATTTTTATTCAATACTACATACATGGTGGTGTGTACTGAGGGTGATTAATGTAGTATGCAATCCAAGAAGTGAATCCCCAGTAAAAGGCACATCCCTATAAAGAAAACACAAATATATGTGAAACGTAATTAAATTAAAACATGAAATGAACACATCATGTGAAACTATACTATCATATTATTAATCTCTGACAATCCTTAACTTCGTGCATTTCATAGCAACCTTCTGAGGACTTTTGTAGTTAGTGAATTTGTTTTTAGTCCTTGGATGATTTTAAAAATTAAAATATTTCAAATTTAGAAGTGAGTTGTAACTTTCTTAGGAATAAAGAAAACCTACACCTTAGCAGATAATCAATTACATGGTAAATCAACAATAATTTTAAGACTAGAAGCAGAAAACTCCTTATGGCAGATTAATATTTTAACTCATTAAACTCATTAAAAGAAAAGGTTACCAATAGGAAAATATTATTGGTCTTGGCTAATGACTTCTAAAAACACTTCAATCTCTTCTCTCAATATTGATATTTTGATATACTCAAATCTATACAAAAGCTTAAACCTAAAGTGAATGAGTTCATATGAGACAATTTCCCTCAAGGAAGGCAAAAATCTAATATTTAAATTGTTTGGCATTTGGAGACAAATGAGTTAATTTCTTCAATAACTGATACCAATTTAAATTAGAAAATTTTATTTTTAGTAAGATCTTTAGATTTTCAATATTAATCTCTCTCAAACACACCTCACACTTCTTTGCCATCTTAAATAGTATATATATAGATAGCACTGTACACACAGATTACATATATACATAAACATAATATACATATACACATGCATACGCATGTACATATATACGTATACATGTTTCAGGATATGTGTGTATACATGTATATGCATGTGTGTGTATATATGTATATTGTGTATGCATATCATGTGTATCTAAAAATTCTCTATTTCCACTGAAATCCTACTCTCATTTCTCATTATGACTAGGTGGCAGTCTGAACTATTAACAACTATGCTTGTGGACTACTATCTCTGGAGGGTCCTACCTAGATGGAAAAATTTTGAATATGGACTGTTGTAAAAGAATCATCCTTAGAGATGCTTATCAATGAAAGTTTGTCAAACAACTCCTTTTTTGGGGGGGAGTGTCATCAATTCATGGGCTTATATGGGGACATCATGGTGTAATAAAAAGAGTAGTGAGCTTAGAATCAGAAAACCTGGATTCAAATCTCAGCTCTGACATTTAATAACTATGTGACCTTGGGAAAGTTGCTTTCCTCCTCTGGCTTCAGTTTGCTAATCTCTAAAATGTGATTTTGAACTAGATGACTTCTAAGATCCCTTATAATTCTAAAGCTATGACCTTATGACCTAATAAGACCTGATGTTTCAATCTGCATCAGTGAAATGAATGCCACATAAAAAACTAGTCAGTCAACAAGCATTTATTGGGGGCAGCTAGGTGGCACAGTGGATAGAGCACCAGCCCTGGAATCAGGAGGACCTGAGTTCAAATCCAGCCTCAGACACATAACACAAGATGTGTGACCCTGGGCAAGTCACTTAACCCCATTGCCTAACCAGAAAACAACAAGCATTTATTAAGTACCTACTACCTGCCAGCCACAGTGCTAATGATGACTTTGAAAATCAAGTACAGGACACAAAGATGTGAGACTGCTGCTAAATTATCCAAGGCTTATATGCCTTCTAGTTTTGTGCTTGTTTTTCAGGCTCTTCTCTTGCTCTCAGTGTTTAGTTACTGGTGAATATGGGGTGGGGGGAGTATTTATTTAAGAAACACACACACACACCCCACTTTGTGGAAAGAGAGTTGGCTTTGGAGACTTCAGACTAGGTTTGATTCCCAACTGTCATTTACTAGCTATAAGATTTTGGGCAAGTCACTTGACTTTAGTACAACCCTGGAATGAGAAAGTTGGACAGATGACTTCTGACGTCCCTTCCAGGTGCAAATCTATGATCGTTTCTTGCTTCTGTTGGTCTAGCACAATTCCCCTCTATTACCAATTTCATTTTTCTAGTCTCCTTTGGGCTCTAAAACCAGACAGGAAAGCTGGTTCAAATGATATCTAAAATAAGAATAAAGAGCTTCTTGCTTGACAGTTGTGGCATCTTTTTGTGGCATACCTTTTGGCTGCTTAAAGGCCTTTTGTTTTGATATTAGAAGTTTTAAATTTTCTTTGGGGTCTTTAATTATGTCCCAGATACTTGAGGCTGCCAACCATGATGTCTCCAGGTAAGTAGGATCTGATTATTCTAGCCAACAATTTAGGAAAGGAATAAAAAAGACTTTTTCTACTGTCTACCTTAGTTTCCTCACCTGTAAATTGGGGATAATAACAGGACCTACTTCTCAGTGTTGTTGTGAGGCTCAAAGGAGATAATATTTGTAAAGCACTTAGCACAGTCTCTGGCACACAGTAAGCACCATATAAATGCTAGACTTTCAAAGAATATTATTACTACTAACATAGTTCTTAAAAGGAGAATTAAGGTCAAGGAATAATGATAATAGGTCATGTTAACACAGTTAATTAACTAAAGGAAATAGCAAAATCCATACTATAGGATGTGAATTTAAGGAATTGTATGCATTCAGTAATAAATTATATCTTCTTAATTTAATAAGGAGCCCATTCAAAACCGTATTTTAACTCCTTGAACAATTGAGGGAATTTTAGAACTATAAGTATTGGGAGAAATTATTCAGTGAAAAAAAATGATACCATGCTTGTACTATGAATTAGATGAAATTCACAGATTATTTTGGGGTGGCACACTAATTCCTTTCATCCAACGTGGAGTATTTTGAATAAATTTCACCAATGAATGTTCACTGAAACCATAACAAAGTTTTATACTCAAATCAATGTGGTTAGATGTAATATTTTACACACACACACACACACACACACAATCTATATATATAAATATACATGTATGTATATATAAATATATGTAATACACACACATACTATCTATATATATAAATACGCATATATATGTATGTATATATACATACATATATGTGTGTGTATATATATATATATAATATATATATAAAATACACACACACACGCACATCCATACACATATATTTATTTATTTTTATAGGAAACTCCCAGATGAGGAACCTCAATTTCTCAATGCAGTTCAATACTTCCTTAGAGTCTCAGAGAATGGCCCATTATCATAGTATATATCTTAACCAGATCCTAACTAAATCCCTAAGTTCTTTAGAATGTGATCTATGAATAAACTAGAATGGTGAAAATATTTCAGTCTGACTTTGATAATTCACAGCTTAGCAATGCCTCAAAAGGAAATATTCTAAATACAAGCCTCATTTTACTATATTCTGGATGTAAAATTTTGAGAAGACTGAGGCAAAATATAAATTGATGATGTTAATGACAATAATAAGAAATTACTTTTTGTGAAAACATCTTATATCAGTTGTTTTTGTTGTTATAAATCTTAATTAGGTGCCCAAAGATATTAATCTGTAAAACACTGCAGGTAATTCAGTGAAATACATTAAAAATAAAACAAGTGGAACCAACTAGTAGGTATAAAGTAGATTAAATAAATATCCAACTTCACTATTGAGTATTTGGGCATCATGAAGACACAGCTATAGTCTTTTGAAAAGTACTCTACATTTTCTTAATTACTATCAGTGATCAGGATCTCAGCTCCCAGGCTTCCAATAAGACCACACCTCTGATACCACAGCGCCACCTAGCATGAGGCTTTGCTAACTGAGAGGAAAACCTACCCACTATCTATTGTTATTGATATTTTTATTGAATCACATTTATAAAAGTCACTGACTTTGAATGTTATTCTTTACAATACTTAAAAGTTTGTTTGTTTCTCAGCCATCTGCCCGTGAAGCTTTATAAATATCTCTTCTTTTTGTTTGATTGTTTGGTTTTGTTGTGTTGTCTATTTACAGACAGCACTTGTCAGTATATTTCCATCTTAAAGCCTTTGATCACTGTAAAACCGTCCAAACATATAATGCAAAACTAGAATGATAGCTAGTCTAACTACAGATATATGTTACACTGCTAGAGCTGTGTTAGCAAACAAATTTTTTAAGTTGTCCAATATATCAGCAAAAAATATCTAGTTTAAAGGAAAAGGACAATTTCTTCCAATTAAATTTTGCATCTATCCAGAAATGTAGTTTTCTTTCCTTTAACAAAAATAAAGCCAAAAAGAAAACTATAAGGACTATTCCTACCTTTATCAAATTTTTCAAAGGTGTGTGCTCTCCAGAAAGTTTATGAACAAACAATGTCTCTAGGAGATAGCGGGCATAATGTAAACAGTGGCAGAAACAGGCCAAGCTGGAATAAAATGAGAAAAAAAAATTTAAGATGTATGAAGAGTCTACTTTCCTATCTCTTCTATATTCTGATTTACTTTGCACATAACACATCCTTTCAGTCCATTGCAATCTCCTATCATTTGGAAAGAGCCAATTCTCAGGGGCCATAACTTGGAGTATAGTGGCAGTCCTGTTTAACAAGTTATTTTTTTCTAAAATTTCCTAAATGAGAAGAACACAATAAATTTTATAGCAGCCACTGCATCTGTTACACTGAAACCTAGTTGAAATACCCAGGCATAAATTAGTTAGGACACAGCTGTCTTAGTGCTAGCTATCAGTATGAGAACTGTAAATGTGCACATATCAAAATGCTTCAAGTTTTGAATAGACAACCTAGATGTCTAAAAAGTCTTGAGAACACATTCAGGATGCATTTGACATTTTATAATGTTCAGAATAGCTTCTGAAATGGTTTCGTCGGCCTTTAGCAAGGGCTATTGATGTGAGTAGGAGGAGGAGTTTGCCTTTCATTTCCTTCAGAGACAGAATGATCTTTGTTGTATTCTTTGACTTATTAATTCATTGTGACAGCAGCTGGGTTTTTTATTGGTTCTGAGTTACAGTGGGCTAGAGGGACAGTTTCAGAATTTATTAGATTAATTTTCTTAAGGATTGTGAAACCATAATCAGTACTTTTGATTTGCCTCATAGAATGAACAGAAAGCTTTTTCTCACTGACAGAAATTCAAATTTTGGGATAACTTGAAAGGGTATCTAATGTATGAAGTTTCTAATACTTTGGTCAACATTCTACAGCCAAAGGTTAAGTACTTAAATCAGTGAGGAAATTACCTACTAATGTTTTTATACCTAAGGTGAAGCTTTTGGCTCTCATGGGGAATTTATTTTATTAAAATATGTTATTGATTTCCTGTGCAATACTGCCAGATTTTATGCAAATATAACCAAGGAAGCAAAGTATTTTCAGAAATATTGGGTTTCAATGTACTTCTTACTCCTTGTGTGACCTTGCACACTTCTCTGAATTTGAGCAACCTCATCTTTAAGAAGTGAGGACTGGACCAAAGGATCTGGAAGCCCCCTTCCATTTCCCAATCCTATTTACCTTCTATTCTCTTCTTCCTAGTTTCTTTCTAATACACTGCTCTTCAGAATTGCTCTACAAGTACTGGTTCTGTGTTCTGTAGCTCTTTCCTGCTTTTGTAAAGAGTCATTTGTTTTAGTCATTTGATTGGTATTGAAATTTGGTATTTTTCTTTCACCAGATTCTACTAACTGATCTTTAACTCCGAACTAGAGACCACACCATGTAAACTTCAGCTATGAGTCATATATCTTACTTATTATCCCATGAATTTTAATGACACTGAATGAAAGAGGGTACTTTCCTCTTCCCTTCTAGTAATATTTGAAATGTGCTGGTGCTATTGCGACTAGTTGATTATATGGTGGCCTGAGGGGAGGAAAAGTATGTTTCAGAAATGTATTGGAGAATATTGACCAAGCTCAAAAAAATAAATGCCATTACTTTTGAGGGAACCAAGGAGAGACTTAATGGTAAATGTATGACAACTTTAAATTAGGGTCAGTATGGTGATACGGAAGTGTTATGAGTTTGGAATATTACCATAGATAAAAGAATGTGGAGACCAGCATGTCATATGTCTATAGAATCAGAGAATTGAGCTGTAAGTGGCCCTGTGTCTGACTACTGCATTAGCTATTGCTGTTTATTCAACAACTATCTCATGTCTTAATCACTTTTAAATGTTCCTATTAGTCCACATTACACAATTAATCACATTCAATTCAGTAAATACTTAAGTAACTACTGTGTAAGGCCCACTGTTAAGCCCTGAGGATTCATAGGAAAAAAAAAAACCTAAATTAAAACTGATCTAAGGAAGCTTACATTCTGCTTGGAAGGGAGCATATAGTATGAACATAGGGAAGTAAATAAAAGATAATTTGAGAAAGAAGAAAATGCTAACATCTATATGGTAGCAGACAAGTATCACCATAGAAGGCACATGAGCTGAGCTTTGAAGGATGCTAAAAAAATTTAAAGGCAGAGGTGAGTAGGGAGCACATTTTGGGTATGGAAGGAGCTTATACAAATGCTCAGAGGCCATAGATGGGATGCTAAGTTTGAAGAACAAGATGCAGGATAATTTTAATTAAACATAAACTTTGTGAAGGAGAGTAATATGAAATGAAGATGAAAATGGTAGAATTGAGCCAGACTGAAGGGCTTTAAATTCCAGGCTGAGGGATTTCTATTTAATCTGCTGGACTATGGAGCCTCCTTGAGAGCTGAGCACACTCACTGGCTTCATGTAGGTGGACATGCTCATTGGCCTCTTGCTAAGGAATCTTTTCTGATTATTTAGTCACTCTTGGATGGTCCTTAGTGACTGAGAAAGAATATTATGGCCCTCAATAAGTTACTAAACCTGTGGAGAAGTTCTACTTTTCTCTATTTTTGCATATTTCATTTGGGACCCCACTAGCTTTTTCTTGGTTTTCTGCATGGCTGGGAGGAGATTACCCTCTCTCACCACCTTCCTAACCCCTCAGCTTCAGTGGCAGCTATAACTTCACTACTTGGCAGCACGAGAATGTGTTTGCCTCTTCAGTTTGTTTTTCTTTCCCTGATCATAGATAACCAAATAGCAATCCAGGGAAATGTGCATTTCCAGAATTGCTGACTACCTTTAGTGTTTGAGAATTCTTGGGTTCCTGATTCTATGCTAGCTACTTAGCAGGTGGTGTTTCCTGCTCCTATTTTTCCTCTTGGAAGATAAGCCCACCTATAGGGCAACACATAATTGAAAGCACTAAGAAAGCCCGATCCTTCTAAGGGAGAGCTGGAGGGCGAGAATTAGGATAAAGTACATTTCAGGAAAGACAGGTGGGAGAACCAGTACAGGTGTAGTGACTATTTGTCCCTCAGATCCAAATTGTAAAAAAAGAAATGATATAAATAAGGCTGGGAAGGCAGGTGGGAAACAAATGGCAGAGTGCTTAAGGGCCAAGCTAAGGAGATTGTATTTTATTTTATAGGTATTTTGGAGCCATTGAAGATTTTCAAGCATGAACAGGTGGTATGATTAGATCTTTGAAAAGATTATTCTGGAAGCTGTATGATACATGGCTCTCTATAAAGTCCTTCTTTATGGCGCACAGGTGTCTCAGGGATCTCAAAACCTATGCTATTAGAGTTCCTATGTTTTAATACTTTCTACTGCACTGGAAAGGCTTTGAACATGGGCTCAGCAATAGAATATGTCTGCTTTCCAGTGACAAGTCTAATTAAGTATGGAGAGGCTCATAAAAAGAGAAAGAAGTGTTAAAGTGAAAAGTAAGTTTACATAAAGAATGGAGAGTGACATATTTAAGTGAGTATTTATCCATATTTAAAAGAGTATTTGAGGATGAAACTGGACAGACTACAAAAACAGATGAAAATGGAAATGATCTGTCAAGAGTATTGTAATAAGCTCTTCTCTCCTGACACTCTGAAAAGAGCCACCACTTCTGCTCTTTATTATCATAATCTGTGATGTGTACATGAGGAAATTACTGGAAATATTACAAGAGAAAACCAATACGGGAAGAGAATTTGGACTAAATAAATCTGAAACTACTATATCTATAATAGAGGTAGAACATCACCAGTACACTGGCACTTGGTGACAAATTTGGATCTTCTTGAATGGCTATGTCAACTCAAAAAAAAAAAACAAACAGAAGAATATAGAATGTTTCTTAGTCCCTTCTGTTCCCACAGTGACAGTGGCATAATGGTGGAAAAGGGCGCAATAAATATATAGTTTCTAGATAAATTTATAAACGTTAACTTAAATATTGGTAATCTAAGCATTCGATTCTTCTCCAGTGACTGAAAAGTGAACATACTGCAAGAGGTAATGAATTATAACAAGCTAGACATACTTATTATAAATAAAACCAGAAATCAAATGGAAGCTGAAGCTAATTGACAAGATGACTCAAAAGTTCTCCTTGGAGAGGCAAATAAAACAGGTGAATAAGTTGGTTTTATTCTGAGTACAAACATCATTTCACAGAACATGAGATAATTTTTGCACTCATCATCAGTACTTTTCAAAGATCATTATAAAATAATTAGTACTTACACATCCACACACCATTATTTGTCACAGGGGATAAAAAGGTATAGAATTTCTACAAGGAACTACAAACCCTTCCAATTAAACTAATCTATACTTTAATGCTTATTGCTCAGTACAAAGGTGAAAGGGAAGACAATGGAAAATACATTGAAAAATTCAGCACAGATTTTAAAAAGTTAGGGAAGTGAGTAGGCTTATAGTCTACACAGAAAAGAGTTGGGCTGTATTGGACATGATAAGAAATAATAATAAAATATGGAAATAAAATAAAATAAAATAAAAAATGGAATTATTCCTATAGTAAATGATGAGAAACAACCAGTTATCATCATGGAGTTATTTCTGAATTAGCTGTCTTCTATATAGTCAAATCATCTATTTATTAGAGAAAAATAAAAATTGATACAAAATTAAAAGAAACAAAAGTATATTTCAGTTAAAATAGATCCTACTTCATCTGTTTAATAAAATAAAATATATTTATGTCAATTATCACCATTTCTTAAAAAAAATATAACCAATGCACAGCAATCCTCAGAATAGAAAACACAAAAATATATAAAAACCTAGTTTTGCTTTAACCAGAAAACTCTTGAACTCTTGGCCAAGAAACAAACTATGGCCACAAGGAGCAGAGATATTACAGTGGTCAAAATACTATTAGGAGACACTCTGTTTTCCAGAACTCACCCTTTGGATGAACTCAGTCACAGCAAAATCCCAGAACTGTTTCATATAATTATTGTAGTGCTTTGACCAGCACCAGGTGTTCTCTGAGCTTGGACAAGTAATCACAGTGCCCATGTTCTAGTCATGAAGCCCTGCTATGAACCAAACCTGTCTCATTATGGCTGTTACCCCTTATTGTCAAGGCTACAACTCACTGTGTAGCCACTGGTATGTGCATTGAGATTTGCCCACACTAAAGGGGGTCCCCTACTACAGGGGCCCCAGTATGTGTCTAGTTTCCTTCCTTGTTTGCAAGCCATTTCCTCACTATAGAAAATAAGCTTCTGGCTTAGTCTCTGCAGAGTTTTTCTTACCTGCTCTGTCTATTCAGCTCTGACCTCTGCAGGCCAAGAGGTTCAATCCAGTTGACATAGCCTAGGCTAATACTAATTTAGAATATATATCCTTTCCTTTAAAATGTAAACACATGTGCAGTGTGTTGCTTTCTCACATTACGTAGACAAAACATTCACTGTTCTGCACCTATAGACTTCTCAGCATTTCCTGCATCCCTGATATATCACTTACTGTACCACTGGGTGGCGCAATCTTCTGGAACTCTCCTTTGCATCATAAATATATGTGAGTCGCATGTAAAAGATGAGGTAGATAAGCAGAGGCCCTGCATATTCAGCCAGAAAAACCTGGAAGTAAGAAAAGTGGTCATTATACATCATACTATGACATTTTAAGTAATGTCATTTTGAGATTGTGTGTTAATGTACATGCATAAAAAAGCTGTAAAATGAAAAAAAAACAGTGGAGTAGAAAGTATACTAGGGTTGGAATCAGAAGACTTGGATTCAATTTCTGACTCTGATTTTATTCCTGGAGTGACCTAGCATAAGTCATTTATTCTCTTTGGGGACTCAGTCTCCCTATAAAATTAAAGGGTTAGAGACTAATCAATGGTGTTAAACTCAAATTCAAATGGACCAAAAGTACAGTATATTGACCTAGAAAAACACAGATTAACATCTGTATTGCATTGTATTTTTATTCATCTGGTTAAATATTTCCCAATTAAATTTTAATCTGGTTCTTGCTACACTTGGGAATTTGACACCTCTGAACTACATCACCTGTTAGGTCCCTTATAGTTCCAATCAATGATCCCATAATCCTATTTCACATACACTACATTAATATTCTTCAAAAGTGGAGGAAGAAACTCTTTAAAAGTATTCCCACTCCTATTCCTAGCCTGAACCAGTACCTATAATTCTCACTATTATCAGAGCAACATAGTTTTTGTAAATTTTTTCCCACTTATTTACTTATTGGCAAAAATCAATCTTAAGCAACCAACATTTACCATGAGTTTTCTTTTAATAGTACATATTTACTAAGCATTTTTAAATTGAACTGAAAGCCCACTGATACAAAGCACAGTTCAGGGATCTGTGAAGGATAAAATTTATAATCCGTTCAAGAACATTTATTGAGAATATACTATGTACTAGATACTGTGCTAGGCTCTCCAGATTCAAAGATTAAATAAAACAGTTCCTACTTAAATCTACATAATCTCTGGATCTTCCAACATATGCATGGACAGGATTTGAGGAGAGAGCTTGTAATAATAAAAGAATTAATAAAAACAAATTTTCATAAAGGGCTGCCTACTATAAGCTAAACTTTTCCTGTAGAAAGACATACAAATAGAAAATGGAATGTTAAAAGTACAGAGAGAGGGAAGGAAGACAGAGAAGGAAAAGGAAGAGGAGGAGGAGAACAAGCCCACGAAGAAGAAGAATGAGAATGAGAATAAGAACAAGAAGAATAGGAACAAGAACAGGATGGAGAAGAAAATGGAGGAGGAAAAGGGAGAGGAGGAGGAGGAAGAAAAGAAGTGGGGTGAGAAGGAGAAGCTATGCACTCAAAATATATTACTTTAATTGAAATATGCATTTTCCTTTGTCCATGCTACTTCTGGAATACAGAATCACAAAATTCAGATGCACTCTTGTCAAATCAAAGATGAACATTCATTTTTCAAAAGGAGAAGCACCATACAAGGGGATTCACCATACCCTTTATCACTTTTATGAGGACTTTGGTAGCTTGATGGACTGGACATTTCACTGAACTGTGAACTTCCTCTACCAGATCACATTACAACCTCTCAACGCTTTCTCATCCTTTGCTATTTTTCTCCATGCTTTCTGATAAGTTCTCTAGGGAGGACTCTTTTAATCTATTAGATGACTTCCTCTGTTTGATTTGTTTTTTACTGATTCATAGAATCAATGTACCATTCCAATCTTTTGTCTATCATCACGGTTCCCAGATCTCCCAAGACTTACAGTTACTATTTTAAATATTGCCAATTTCTTTAAACCTAACATTGTCTGGCATGGTCTGCAATCCTGTCACCATCTTGGTTGCTTTCCTCTTGATGGATTCAAGATTGTCAATGTGGTGCTAACAACAAAACATAATGCTCCAGATGTTGTCTGACAAGTGGAGAATGGGACTACTGATGCCCTCATTCTACACACTATATTTCTATCATGGCAGTTTGAGACTGCATTAGTTCTTACGTTGCCCCTTTGAACATCTCAAGAACCCTAGCATCCACAGGGAAGATTTTAGGCTTTTTTGTTTTGTTTCATTTCGTTTTGTTTTTGGGGGGAGGATTCTGTGGAGAATTATTTCTATGCAACTGGTGAATGTCTTAGGTTTATAGCTGTTTCCTTATTTTACAATCACTTGTTGAGTTTTCTCTAGCACTCCACTCCTAGTTTTGGAAGGAAATGAGAACACGTGGGTACATGTTCCTATTCTCCTTGTCTGGTGCTCAATCCCTTTCTCAGTGCTTAACCCAATTCTCGATAATTCATAGGATGAGAATTCTGTTCTGATCTACATTACGGTTCTGTTTGGAAGATCAAATGATCATGATTAAGAGCTGGAATAGAGGTGATTAGCTCAACTCCCTTCTCATTTTTCAGGGGTGGGAGAGGTTGAGACTTGTCAAAGTAATAATCAAGACTGAGATTTGAATCCAGATTCTGATTCCAGGAGGAATACTCTTTACCCAGTATCACACTGCATGGAAAAAAAAAAAGCTAACATTTTTGTAGTACTTTAAGGTTTGCAAAGAACTTTACATTTTTTTGGTCTTACAGTACAGCAAGTTTTTGAGGTAGATTCTGTTATTACTTCCATTTTAGAGACTGACAAAGTAAAACTTAGGTAGGTTGAATGACTAGACCATGACCACCAAGTAAGTTTTCTTGAAACCATTTTCAACATTTGACTAAGCTAGGTTTCTGGGGTGGCTGCTCACTTCAGCACACTCCAGTTTGTGGAAATTGAATTAAATACAAAGTTCTTTCACCTAGGAATTTATTTTCTTGTTTCTGTGAATATATATAACTTCACCAATAGGACTACATTTCATGATAAGAATTAATATCACCATGCTGTGCATTATTCATTTCCAATTATGGTTATCAGAGTGTGTTGCAGACAGAGAGGCAGGCTCAGGCCGCATAACACATGAATTCAAGTTCTGCTTCTCACATATACTGACTGTGTGTGCCTGAGCAAGTCACTTAATTTCTTTTTTTCGAAGAAACTCCATAGGTGATAAGTTACAGAAAAACAAAACAAAACAGAAACACAGCATTTCATTGGTAAAGGGTGTTTCCTAATCTGATAACTTATAGCAATGAAAGAATCCATAATGGCTATGGAAATTCAGAGACCTTAAGCTGTGCTCCCTTGAAAGTAATATTAAATTCAAGCAAATATAATTTAAATAAATTAAGTAAACATTTATTAATTCTTAACATCTTGTGTGCCATGCAAATGTGAGGGGCTGGGAATACAATGACAAAAAATAAGACATTTGCTGCCCCCAAGTATCTTATATTCTACTGATGTGATATATAACTCATCTATCAGATTACATGAAAAACGATATTTTAAAGAATTGAAAATAAGACAGTTAAAGCTTGGCAAAGGAAGGAGCAATGAAAAAAACAACTAGTAATGGTGTAAAGCAAGCCTAGGTAGGGGACCACAGTGATTGTCCCTGGGTAATCGGGGTTCATCAAAAAAATTTAAAAAAACCTGGCAAGTTGTAGGAGATAAAGGGAAGCAGGGTTTATCAAAGAAGAAAGTAGCTTAATAGAAGGATATAGAGGTGGATTTCTATGCCACATCTCATCTAGTTATGCAGATATTATGTAAATGTAACAGGTAACCCTAAACAAACCTAATGTCACACTGTGATTTCCTTGGTTGAATAAATATATGTTGTGGATTATTATTTTGTGAAAATGAATGTTGTTCTCAGTTTTATGTTTCCCTCATTTTACCATAGCATAATAATAATAATTTTTAAAAAACTCAAGTTTGGGTGGCTATATTCTTCTTTGGACTTAAACCAGAAAAAAAAAACCTGCCAATATTTTCAAAGGTTTAAAATATTTTGATGATTTTTTTCAGACCATTTTTGTTCCTTTTAACTGGTAGATAAAACTGCAAGAAAATCCAGTTCAATGGTCATCATTTTAAAAGATCTTTATAATTCCTAAATAAAATATACCTTTGAAATCAAAATCATTTTCTATAGTGCCTGTTAATTTTTGGCTGTAGGTCAGGCTCTCAAAAGAAGGCTGTTAGAGACTCCCAGGAGCCAAGATGGTGATGTAAGCAGTAAATCTCTATGACTCTCCCATATTCACCTCCAAACAACCATAAAATAGCACCCCCAAATAAATCCTGGAACAGCAGAGCCAGCAAAAAGTTGGGGTGAAACAATCTTTGAGCCCAAAAAACTGGGAAGATTGAGAGGAAAGGTCTGTCTCACTTTGGTAAAAGAGGAGTGCAGGCCAGGACAGGAAGCATCCCAGCAAGCCAGCATCAAACCTTACCTCAGCAAGCCAGTGGCAGATCCTGAGTAGTAGTGCAGTAGAGTAGGCAAACACCAATACCAGGACTCCCTACATGCCTCAGCATAGGTGGAAGAACCAGAAGATTCTAGCTCTGAGAACTGACACATGCTTCAGCATAACTCCAGGCAAATAGGCAACCTTCATCAAGCAGACCTACACTTGCTTCAGCATAGCCTCAGGCAAACAGGTAGACATCAAACTTACAGGTGCCTAAGTAAACAGGCAGCCTCCATCAGCTGCTTGCTTAAATGTATCTCTGAAGAAACAGAAATATCCTACCACCCTTGCTACACCCCAGAAGCCAGAACTAGGTGGTTCCCAGATCAGCACCAGGTAAGTTAACAGATCCCTATGGCCTCCAATAGCACCAGCCAACCCTGCCATAGCACCCCCTCAGCACAGCACCAGAGAGACATGAGGGTCCTCCTTGGGACACAGGGCAGCATCAGTAAAATACCAAGTAAACAGCCAGCACCTGCAGACTCTGGCACAAGAAGCCTGAGACAATGTGCCTTCTACCCTGGGAACAGAGATCAAATTTAAAAGAAAGGGAAAAAGGCCAAAAAAGATGAGCCAAAAAAAAAACAAAAGAAAAAAATCTGACAATAGAAAGTTATTACAGCGAGAGCAAATATCAAGACACAAACTCAGAAGAGGACAACAATGTCAAAACACCTATGGGTAAAACTCCAAAGAAAAAATAAGTTATGCTCTCAAGCTGAAGTAGCTTAAAATCA